AAAACTCAAATGCTTTGATATTTTTTGTATCAGCTTCAAAATACGTAGGCCTAGCTAAGCCAAGCGAAGGAATTGTTAACTGCTTGGCCTAATTAACAAATTCTGGTAAGTTATGGTGTGGTTTGCGAGTTGTTCTTAGCTGCATTTCATAGATAGTCTGAAATCTTCCTGGAGACAATTTGACAATAAGGAAAATTCTCATTGAATGTTACAGCTAAAACAAATAAATTTTAGTAAACATACCACGTGCAATCCAGCTATCGCTCGAATGTTGTCCTTACATATGCAGGAAGATTCTCTGCACTCTAGAACTCCCAAACCCATGTTATTGCCGCGTTAACACACTGTCTTGCTATTTGTTTATCTCTCTAAACAATTCTTCTGAAATAATGTTAATAAATTATATCTGTTTAGCGTTCAAATGTGGCCGCCATTTGTAGGCTAATGATCTTCATTGAACGACCGCTGTGCATGATTTCAAACCCTTACTTTTCCTTATTTGGAAAATTCTTTTGTCAGATACTTGAAAGAAATCAGCATGAGGTCTTAAAATGACCACACTGACATTTTCATTAACATTTTAAATAAAAATGTCAAAGATATTGGAGCTGGTGTCTTTCTTCTCCTATCTCATTTTGTTTTAGGCACGTTATTGGGGTAGTCAATGGCTGTGCCAACTTTCATAGCAGAGCCAAGAAAAAGGTTTATCCTTCTACGGGACGTTACTTTGAAGCTTTGTTAATTTTTTTCTTGGGCAGTGTTTGGGTGAGGTTCTATACTTTTCACTGCTTTAGTATTAGAAGGTAAAACTGGCCTACTTACCTCATCATAATTTAACTTAAAGAAAAGTATTTTTTCTGCCTTGCACTTTCACGATATTATTTTTTAAGAACAATTTCATTACATCACGAGCCGCAAAACTGGTCGAAAATTGAGAACAAATTAAGAACAAGCTGAAGCTGAGCATCTGTTAAAGGTTTTTTGAACAATGTTTTCTCATGAAAACAATGAGTCTTCTGCCATCTAAGGGTGCTTTTTTGGTGAATTTTCAAAGTTGTCGGCAAATAATGGATGTCTCACTCACTCTGTTGGCAAACGAGGCCTGAACACCTCCCTAGAGCACAAAAGCAAGCAAATTCCCAGTATACACCCTAATGATTTAAGAACAAACAAAGAACGACCCAGCCTCAGATTATCGAAAACGTTGAGAACAACCAGCCTGAACTTGAATTTACTACTTCCTTCAGAAATAAAAAGTGTACGTGAACTTTTTTGCAAAACAATAGAGCTTTTTTCAAAATCCTCTGTTTTGGGTTTTTAATTTTCCCTTGCCCCCCCCTCCCATTTTCAAACCTGTGTCGGAGCCCATGCCATACAGTACCCACTCTTAATTCAATTCGATTCTCTGATTTGACTGACGACGTGTCATTAGTTGATGCCACCTCTGGGCCTAAGCTTAGCTTGACCTTGGCAAATTTAGAAATCTTAACAGTATCAGGTACGTAATTTGTGGACACCTTATTTCGTCATCTGGGCTATCTTCTATAATTACTTTCTCGGCAATTTTAGAGGAATGAGAAAAATTGCACGATTGGATAAATCTGACAAAAAGGGTGATGGTAATATTCAGAAGGCGATGATAATATCGACAGCAGTGAAGCAGACTTCTTCTTGGGCACAAAAACGCGCTTTGGTCGCGCAGTACGATTCAGCGATAGATTCATTGAATAATTCAGCTATATACAGTTTCCTTTCAAGTTATTGATACTGCTTGAATTGAAGCATCAAACAATTATAATGGAATTCTAGCCTCGGTGAAACCAATACTGAGCATAAGATGCGAACACCGCCATCAGTCGTGACGGTGAAACTGATTAAGTCAAACTACTATCATTTACACCACTGACTTACAGGGCCAGTTAATATGAGCAAATCTATCCCACCTTTTAGTAAATAAGCTTATAGATAGAACAAAATCATTGCATTTTTATAGCGAAATGTATCCAACCTTCATCTGTATATGGAGAAAAACATCCCCATGGGCTTGGGCAAGGCCAAATTTAACACGTGTAGCAAAAGACTTTAAAAAAGCTCTATTGATTTGCAAAAGAATGGGGGCTTGGCCCTCAGCCCCCCAGCCCCTTTTATCAGAGGCCATGACCTCACCTTCGAGCCTTTGATCAGTAAATTGCGACAAAATCTGATCGTGTTTTTATGTAAATTGTCATCCAACCTTCCAGCTTCATGAAACTTTCCAGCTTTTATTTGGAAAACAATTTATCCCACCCCAGTGAGTTCCCAACTACCATGCAGAGGGATCTCGCCTAACTGGGCTGGCTCCTTATCCACATAAATGCAAAAGAAGAAATACAATGGATTCTATAAGAGGTTGGGATGTTTCCTCTCAGCTAACAGGCTGGGATGTGGGATTGGTTTTTCCATACGCAAGCGGGAATTGGTTAAAAACCATGGTCGGGAATCGGGCTAAAAACGTAGCGGGAATTAGGGCATCAGGGGACCAACTGGGGAACATTAACATATGACAATTGAACGCTTAATTTATGATGAAAACACTTCTTGGATATCGCGTAATCACCGCAAAAAATTGCGTCAAGTTGACGGCGGTGATTATTCCGTACGCCACCTGTTGCAGGTTGCGTAGCAATATTTGGGACAACCCTGTGAAGAGCACTCCTTCTGATAAGAGCGTATAAAGAATCATAGCAACTGAGTGGTGTAACAAGATGCGGATGCCACCCCCAATGGCAAATAATCTCTTTGATTTGGTTTAAAAAAAAGCCCTCTCCTGGGTCAAAAAGGGTTAGGAGGACGCCACCCCCACCCCTAATGGCAAATAATCTCTTTGGTTTGGTTTAAAAAAAAACCCTCTCCTGGGTCAAAAAGGGTTAGGAGGACGCCACCCCCACCCCTAATGGCAAATATTTCTTTGGTTGACTTGCTGAATGTTTCCTGCTCAACTCGTCTTTGGAATTTCGAGACCAACCTTTTCTTTTGGAGATCATTCCGAGTCTTATACTTATATTTACACTAACATCTTTAATAATACTCTGTTTTTAAACTTCCATGCCTTAGAGATATAGAGTAGAGACTCTTTAAAAGCATCTCTTTTGATTCCACCCTTGCATAAAATATAGAACATATACCGCTTTAATTTGGCTTTCTCTGACATGAGGTTCCGTGTGAACAGATTTCTGGGGGATCAAGCAAAAGTCCGAACTGGTGCACAAGCCCCCATGTCTCCACGAGTTCGGTATCTCTATAGGACTGAATATAAAGCAACCTGTATGACTTTGTCACTTAAGATTTTGGTAATATGTTGCTTTCTCTGTGTTTAAAAATCCACGGCAAAATTTGGTCACGACGAAGTTCTGAAAAGTTGTCCGAAATTTTCTTTGACGAAGTTTTTTCGCCGAAAATTTATCTGACGACATTTTCTGTTGCTTATGTATGTGAAACACTGCGGCAATCTTGCGCTTATAACCAGGGGTGTAGGACTATGAAAAAAACCGCGTTCTTTCATACAATGTTAGAAATACAATACCAAAAGTAGAGATTGACGGGCATTAGCAAGGGAGTGCAGCCTCCTTGGCCCCTAGCAAGTAAACACTACACTCCTGCTTGATAGTGATAAACAAAAAGCGTTATGTATTCGCTGCACTACACTACATAGTTGCATCATTTCATTGCAATGAAGTGTATCATTCTAGTGTATCCCTGAATATATATGAGAACTTACCATTTTTTCTTACCCGAGACACATTTTGAGTTTTTTTGTGGAGAAGGGAGGGGGTGGATGATTCTCAACTTGATGAATTCATAGACTAAGTCTTGCAAAAGGCCCTAGCTTTCCTAGATGCAATGCCAGTAAACTTGCTTTCAATAATCTGAATTGACTACTAAGCGCTAGCAATTTGCTTCCAATGGCACTTTTAAGGCCCAAGCCATCGACTTTGCAAAATTCGAACCATGTTTTCTATTATTCGTATTCAAAATAACAATGTCCCAAATTAGCCATGCTAAAATCTTGAACTGATCGATCAATGAATAATGTTCCTGTGATTTCTCATGCACAAATCTTGGGAACTCTGTTGCGAAACTTCTGTTTTGCTTGCAATGATGGCGTTTAAATTTTAATGCGAAACTTCGGCATTTGATTGAAGTCAGTATGAAAGTGACTTTATTCTCTTTAAGCTTTGTCTGATGCCGTATACAAACATCTGCCTGCAAAAAATATTACACGCGATAGTTTTTAAACTTTAAAAAGCTCAAAAATCGTCTCATTTTGTGCAACGTCCTACGTGGTTGGTTGCGAGGCTTGATGTGTGCAAAGCATCACTGGCATTTGAGACATAGGGGCTGAGGAGGGGGTGGGGTGGGGTAGGCGCTAAAGAATCCCTAAACATGCAACATTTATGGAAATTTAGGCTCTATTCCGGCATAATTATCTCAATAAAGCAACAAAATTCGGGAAAGGTCCCTACAACATTGCATCTGCTACGCTCATAGAATGTATGGATTTACGCAAAAGACATCCCAACTACTCTAGAGTACTTAAAAATCATTCAACTAGCATATTTCCTATAGAAACTTTCCTGACCTTCACCAAAGTTATTTCCAGCCCCCTTTATTATTTTGTTGGTCCTGTAAATTATTGACCTTCACAGTCTTCCTTAATTTATACATCAAAGTTTTTAAACGATCACTTGACAACGTTAAACGCCGTTGTTTGATGATTACAGCGAAACATTTGTTCTGTTCACGTCATGAAGTGGCTACTAAGAAGCTGCGTGCGTACGTAAGTATAAGAACGCAAGAGGCATCGCGATGAAGACAGGTGCTCAAAAGGCAGAATAGCATATTTGTGGAAAGGCTAAAAATTGCGTCATAACAGTGCCAAAAAATCAATGTTTTCTATTTCCCCTCCTCTGATTATTCCAGCCCTAATTATTAATTTTGAGCAAATTTCTGACCCTCTAGTCCTTCTCTGTTGTATCAATATCATAAAATATGGGAAAGTTCCTAATGGCTGCATACTTTAGATTAGGCCATCGGTCGACAAGCCAGGGTTCTGGCAAGTAGCTTACTTCGGTTTCAAAGAAGGCAAATCAAATTTGCCACATTGCAGTTAAAGCGAATGGAAATCAACAAAAAAAACTTTTTGCTTATAGGTCAGATCACATTGCTCTTTTTAAATCTTTTGCTCAGTTTTGCATGTTCTTTCCGATAGTGTCACCAGATTTTGAAAAGTTTGAAAATTGAAATTTTGCTGACCGTGCATTTTTCATGCTTCCGGAAACGCAACTTCCGGTCATTTGCTAGAATGTTCCCAGAGCTTAAAATGATCAGTGGCCTTTACTCTTATGATTTAAACTTTAAAAACTTCGGTTACCCAGTTTGCTAGAATGTTATGCAAAATTCGCTGTCTAATATAACTGATACAGCATTTTGCAACAAGAATCTACAACAAAGACTTGCTCTGTTTCGTCGCAGAAAAACAAAGTTGCTTGAACTTGAATAATGTTATTGGAATTTTGCGAAATCAATGAAAATTTTAAATACAATTGCAAAAACACAACAAGGTAAAATCTATTTCTCAACACCAGACTAATACTAGCGTTAATTCTTTGCACATTAATTGAAACTGAATATCAATTTAAGCGTCAAGAACGCTGCTACATAATAAATATTTAGAAACGTGAGTGTTTAGATCCGTGACAGTAGAGTTTGAACAATGCCACATCTAGGATAAACAGTGAATCTTTCAATGACGTGCACTTTCCAGAAACGGACACCTTTACAAAGCGGAAAACATACTTGCAATAACGGACATCCTCCTATAGCAGAAACCTTCAAAAAACGGACAAGGCATGTAACAAAACATTCCCGTCACGGATTCGTCAAAATAGCGGACACTTTTCAACAACGGACACTATCAAAAACGTAGACATACCAATAACGGACACGTTAAAAAACGACACATTCTAGTCATGGAGACGTCTAGATAGCGGACACTTTCAACAACGGACACTATCTAAAACGGACACATACCAATAACGGACACGTTAAAAAAAGACACATTCTAGTCATGGAGACGTCAAAATAGCTGACACTTTTCAGCAACGGACACTATCTAAAACGGACACATGCCAATAACGGACAAGTTAAAAAACGACACATTCTAGTCATGGAGACGTCAAAATAGCGGGCACTTTTCAGCAACGGACACTATCTAAAACGGACACATACCAATAACGGACACGTTAAAATAACGACACAGTCATGGAGACGTCAAAATAGCGGACTCCTTTAAGTAATAGACACGAGCTTATAAGCTTATATTCGAATAATGGACACTTTAAAACAGCAGACACCTCCCAACAATAAACTCCTTCCTTTTAAACAGACATCTCAAGACAACGCACAAATAAATTCATTCCAAAATCGTTATCCTGCAGTCAAAGATTTGTAGAAGCAACCCCAACAAAACGGAAATCCATCAATAAGGTCCAGTGGAGGTATCCGTCACGTGAAGGTTTCACTGTAATCGTAAGAAGGTCTATCCATGAGACCTAGGCTTTAATATATTTTGCACAAGGCTACAGTTATAATGATCCTAGTCTGCAAAATGAATTCCAAAAAGTACTTTCAAAAGGCGATTTCCAATCTATTTCCATCTTGCCTGGTTTGCAATTGTGAAATTCGCAGCTAAGACCTCGTTAAATTGACGCACTGTTTTATTACATATCCATCAAATACTAAGACCTATGATTCAACTATGTACAAAAATAAAGTATATGTTACATTGTACAATAGAATATCCCATATCATTAATATCTGATGAATATCTGATGGATAATTCCAACCATGTAACAGGGCCTTTAGATTTTTCCAGGAGTAACTGAAACAGCGTATTTGTTAACTCATGATTATATTTGCCATGCTTTATATTAAATTAAGCTACACTTTACTGTAGTCTAAATTTCTGAAAAATTGTACCTATATCAATTTAGTTTTCTTACAATAAAGGCGTACGTGACTGTCTGAAATATGACATGCACCAAACTTTGGCACTTGCAAGCCAATTGAAAGGGGTGTCTTGAGCCACTTGAAAACTGGATTAAGCGCTTTTTAATATATAAACATTTTACTACCTTAATTATAACTGAATCTATCTACTGCTATATAACTGATGCTTTGGGCGTTTATCTCAAAACCAAAATATCTTCATTTTTAGTTAGACCTTAAGGAGTCGCATCTATCAAAAAGTATGCGCAGTTCAAAGAATATAATTTTCTTCTTTCGATCTAAATAGAGTTGTCAACTAAAATGTTTTTCTTCTAATCTTTCCCTAATTTTTGTCACTCCTCCAAGAAATTACTACATTCACAATAACTTTAAAAAAATTCTTACAATAATGTATTTAAATGCAGTTTTCAAGTATTAAAAGTTACAAACATAACATCGACACAGGTTTTACGCAACAAGTAAAAAATGATACCAAATACCTGACACCTTGATGAGGGTGGCAATTAACAGACCTATAATAACGAAATTGTGATACGCGGTATAAATAAGCAGACCACGAAGATGTCATCGCTCTCTGGTTGCTTGAGCAAACCTGGTCATTGTTGTGTTGGCCTGATTGGTTGCTCTTGAAGGGTAGATAAATCAACTTACTTTGATCAATGACAAAAAAGTTTTCATTCTTAGTAAAGAAACTTTTAGTTGTTCGATGTTTTCTTGTGACGCTTTTCTTGCTTGCTCTTGATTCTATAAAAAAAGATTCTTGATTGTAACTTAGGGGAAACTTCGAGAAGAGAACTTAACGAATGGCTTTGGTTTGCCGGGGGAGATAAAGATTTGCAGGTCTAGCGACACTGATTAATCCCCCGTATTTACTCAAACGTGCAGGTATCTTTTTCTGCATACAGGGGGGGGGGTGATTCAGTCATCGGGCGATTAGCTATTTATCGTTCCCAAAAGGAACATTTTAAGGCAATTTCCCAATATTAAGTCACTACTCATAATTGTCATACATTACACAGATTCATGGTTTGATCCATAACTATACGTTGATTAGTGGAACCCGATTTCATACCAACACTAATATGGTTTGTGAAACATTCTGCTAATACCATGTTCAGTAGCTTTCATTTGTCTCGGCAATTTCATGAAATGTTTTACCTTCTACCGCCTCGTCAGTCTTAAGAAAGAACTTCACACCGATTTGACCAAACTAAACACAGGACGAAATTCCCTGATAAACAGGGACTTGAGAACATGCAATGTCTATGAAGTAAAACCTCTTTTAATGGACACCTCCTTAAGGTAATAATCTCCTAACGACCACCTTTATATAGCGACCACCTTTATATAGCGACCACTTTCTTATAGCGACCACCTTTATATAGCGATCACCTTTTCTAAACTTGATGCTTACAAAAAACGATGACACAGTTCGTCCTAAAATTCTTTCTTTAAGGTCTCAGCTTTGCGGAAGTTACTTCAAGACAAGGGACACCTCTTCAAAATGGACACCTTTTCACAACGGACAACACTTTACAACGGTTATATTGAGGCACTACTGAATTCAGAATCATCGTTAGTGAATCTCTAGAACTTACCGCTATTGACGCGGTGAACTGCCGAATCTGCGTCCCAAAATTATGCCGTTTTCTACGAATTTCCAGTGCCGCGTTTAACGTGTCACGTCGCTTTTTATCGATTTCTGAGAAAAACAAAAATAAGAAGCTAGATGATGGGTAGCAAACAAAATAACGATCATTGCAGAGCACTGTATCTTTAGAAGTTCATATAGATTTCAAGGCCGATTTCCACTAGGCGAATTCTTTCGCGCGAATCGAATAAATATTTGCAGGGGTAGAGTAGGGCCGTGATCTACTTTCTGCGAATCGAATTTTTTTGCTGCAAAATCTGAGAATATTACACCACGCATGCTCGCATTGGCAAAAATTCGATTCGCACGAAAGAATTCGCCTAGTGGAAATCCGCCTTCAGATTAGATAGATTACATACAGGAAAATATAGATTTCCCAATGAGTGTTTACACATGTGCACGTATTCTGGCAAAAAAGACTTGCATAGGCCCAAAGAAAATACTGGCAATCGATCTGGAAATAAGTGAAGGATCTTTATTCCTTTTAAAAACAGACAAGCATACCTAATACGGTGTTTTTAAAGCTTGGAACGAAATAGCCATAGAACTAAGGGAGATCCCCTCGCTCTATCAATTCAAACGAAAATCAAAAGCTCATTTAAAGAGCTCAGGAAACCCGAATTAATGCACGACTCCCAGGAAGATCAGACGTCAAATTCAATTCACACATATTATTAACTAATTTTTAAAATTTTGTCTTCCATTATTAGTTTTTTTAGCTTATCATAACTTGTGTTTAGGTTTCTGATGGAATATCGTGTTGAAATAAGAATTTAATAAAAAATAAAAATAAAGTGATCTATGTAAAATGTACTGAAAAAAACAATAAACATCCAAGCAAATACTAATTTCAAAGATGACAGGGAAGGCAAAAAAGGTTAATGAAGAAATTTGAATAGCCAGAAATTTAGAGATAAAAATATATCTTCTTCCACCAATGTGAAAATTAGAATGGCAAAATTGAACTGTTGGAGTGATTGGGGATAGAGCTTGAAGTAACTGAATAGGAAATTTAAAAAGCAAAATTCAATCAACGAGATAAAAATGTTTTAGTATACACGCATCATCACTTCTACAAATATAATTAGTTTATATCGGAATTCCACCTTTCTCCACTTCAATGTTTATCAAACCTCGTTGAGAAAGTGTCAAAAGAGAAAATAGAGTCCCATATAGATTCAAGGCTTTAAGATGACCCCCAAATAGCCCGATTCCTTTTGTATTTACCCTTTTAAGAGTTATGGTCCGCAGAGTAGAAAAAATTTACACAGAACTGTTTTGAGGAGTTTTTCCCCACAAGCATCGGACTGACAACTTTGCTATGAACTTGGCTAATCTTTCGATGTAAACTATTAACAACTTTAATTCAACATTCTAACAGAGCAGTAACGCATTTTTCATCTTACCTTGCTTATACTCTATAAATGATTCTTTATTACGTTTCATCTCCTCAATATCTGGGCTTTTGAAATCCTTTAAACGTTCCTAAAACAGATAAGAAAACAATATAAAAACTTCCACATCTTCGTTACATGCGGGACATACAGAATTTTTGAAACCGGTGTTGGCTGTAAAGAATCTGGCAAAACAGGTCACCATGTTGGATAGTAAAGTTATCCGAAAAGGTGACTATGACACAATCTATCAGTAGATGAATACCCCCCAAATAATCAATATCCCCCCCCCCCTTCAAGATCAATGTCCTCAAAAATCAAGCTTTGCTGGATCTATAGTCACAGAGATGTAGCAGGTGAGGGCGAGGAAGACAGTAACATATTTTGACAAATCACCTGCTGAGAATTTTTAGTTTTTTTCAAAATTAGCATTTAATCGAAGATAGATTTCCTAATTTGTCTGTTTTAATCAACATCAAAGACGCAATATGATTGTTTGTATGACCGTGGCCAAAAGCCTTTAAAGGAGGTGGTGCAGACATGCGTTGAAGCTAAATGTCAAAGGATTTCTGCAATATAACGAGTTATTTTGATTAAATGCAAATGAAGTGTCTGACCAGATGTCCTTAAAAGGACCCGACCGTCCTCTGACAGAACAAAATACTCTCGCTATGGGTGATTGTTGTAGTAATGAGTTGACGTAAAGTGCAACTTTTAAGCTGTCGTAAAGTGCCATTTTTAAGTTGACATAAAGTGCCACTTTTAAGCTGTCGTAAAGTGCCACTTTTAAGTTGACATAAAGTGCCACTTTTAAGATGTCTTAAAGTGCCACTTTTAAGCTGTCGTAAAATGCCACTTTTAAGCTGTCGTAAAATGCCACTTTTAAGCTGTAGTAAAGTGCAACTTTCAAGCTGTCGTAAAATGCCACTTTTAAGCTGTAGTAAAGTGCAAATTTTAAGCTGTCGTAGAGTATAACTTTTAAGCTGTCGTAAAGTGCCATTTTTAAGCTGTCGCAAAGTGCCACTTTTAAGCTGTCGTAAAATGCCACTTTTAAGCTGTCGTAAAGTGCAAATTTTAAGCTGTCGTAAAGTGCCACTTTTAAGTTGACATAAAGTGCCACTTTTAAGATGTCTTAAAGTGCCACTTTTAAGCTGTAGTAAAGTGCAACTTTCAAGCTGTCGCAAAGTGCCACTTTTAAGCTTTCGTAAAATGCCACTTTTAAGCTGTCGTAAAGTGCAAATTTTAAGCTGTCGTAGAGTATAACTTTTAAGCTGTCGTAAAGTGCCATTTTTAAGCTGTCGTAAAATGCCACTTTTAAGCTGTAGTAAAGTGCAACTTTCAAGCTGTCGCAAAGTGCCACTTTTAAGCTTTCGTAAAATGCCACTTTTAAGCTGTAGTAAAGTGCAACTTTCAAGCTGTCGTAAAATGCCACTTTTAAGCTGTCGTAAAGTGCAAATTTTAAGCTGTCGTAGAGTATAACTTTTAAGCTGTCGTAAAGTGCCATTTTTAAGCTGTCGTAAAATGCCACTTTTAAGCTGTCGTAAAGTGCAAATTTTAAGCTGTCGTAAAGTGCTACTTACATTCTGTTTTCAAAATGCGAACGAGTATTCTAGAGGCTCACAGAATGAGAATTTCTAGTTTAACATCACATTGCTCACTTAATACAACACTTCAATTGCAGAAACCTCTGAACACAAGTGTATGCTACAATGTTTGCCCAGATTCTATTAACTAATTAAAAAAATGACCTATCCATCTCAGGTAATATTTTAACAGCAGTAAAGTAGATGGACCATATTTTGACAATAATGGGTCAAGAGGGGGGGGGGGAATCCCCGTATCCCATACCCTCTTAGCACCGTGACTGCACATGATCATGTATCAAACTGAAATATCTTTACAGAATAATGACCCCTGCGCCACTACTCCTGCAAAAGAGCTCGTATTGTTTATAGCCCCAGGGCCAGAGCTGGCTCTCGATGGGCCTGGGTCAATCTGTAGACATCTATGTTATGGATAAACAAGCTTATTCTACGGCGCAATATGCCCACTTTCCCCTTTCAGAATCCTTCTGCATATATCTTTGAATGTTATTAAACTACCACACTCTTCATTCTTTTGAGATGCAGATAAGCTTCCTTCCTTTTGATTTTTTCTTTGCTAAAATTACCTTAATTTCCCTATCCCTGATTACTTTGAAACATTTCGGTGACAAAATCTACAATTTTCTACTGCATTTTCTACAGTCCTGTTGCCACTCCTGTTGCCACAGCCAATCCCTATTCTTCAAAGCAAAGGACAATCCATGGGAATATTTTACGACTTTTTCAAAGAAATATCAATATCGCTAAGATATAGAATTTCGTCATCATATTGTTGGAATTCCTATAATCATTTTGATTAATATCATGAAGAGAATAAGAGTAAGGAGGGAGCCTTGTCGTACACTGAATGTTGGATTTTTATCATAGCTTACATTCTGACCAGGAATAAAATATCAAATATTCTTTATAAATCAAGGGTTACATGAATTAATACACTAAACAGCACAATTAGGAGTAAAGGTTACGGTTAGGAAACGGGAAGCCAATAATTAACATGTTTCATATTGTTGTTGAAATTAGGAAACCAAAGTTTAGAAAATCATTTAACGATCGTCAAATAACATTCTGACCTTACTACACAAAATATAGGCCATGCTTACCAAACATTTAGGACAGAACCATGTTCCTGGTGGTACTTTTGACAGTGGGGGATCAAGGCACGATAAGTGGTACACACGATCACATGTGTCACACATGAGTAAGTTTCCAGCGTCTCTGCACACGGAACAAGTAATTTCGTGGAAATCGTGAATGTCAATCTGAGCAAAGAAAGATTTAATTGACAAACTGTAAAACTGGAAGCAACTCTGCACACGTCATGATAAAAGACAAAATGCTTTAAACAACAGAGATAATTTGAAAACAAAAAGGCAAAAGCAATAAAGATGATGAATGGCAAACATTTTTGAATAAACTAAAATTCGTCAACCTGACAAGACTGAAATTCTTTAGAAATTACACAAAGAATGAATTGATAATAGAAATAGGTATAGAATACTTTATTACAAGTATAAGTACGCAAAATCCGAAAAATTATAAGTGGTAAATTTTCACCCAACATATCGCAGAGTATGACATATCGAATAAGGGCCAAAAGATGACAAAAAATCAATCAAGGCGATTTTTCTGGTAACAAGCACTATATTTTAGCATTTATGTGGAAAGTAAAAATTTTACAATATCAAAGTCTTACATATTTTTTTCAGTTACATGGACTAAATTTGGTATTGGTGAAAGAGAGAAACGAGAACGCTATACTATTTTTGACAATACTGGCTTCACGAGAGATCCTTTTAAAAAACACTATTGAAAAGCCAATACACTATTGAAACAGACTGGAAAACAGATTCTTTTCCAACAGGAATTAATTTTGTCAGAGCTGTATTGTATTGTTGTATTGTTTGCTACCTAGCTTCTGAAGGTACAATCCTTGCCAAAATTGTTGAAACACTTGCGCAAAGCTGAAGCTTTTTTTGAATAATCCCCCCTACCCCTCTCCTATCCCCCCTCCCCTACCCCTCCCCTACCCCCCCCCATTACAATGTTGTTCAATTGGACTGTTTTGATCCTGAAGGTAACAAGTTTTTCACTGAAAGCTGTATGAAGGTATTGAGAAAATAAATCAACATTGTACGGGGGTGGAGGGTCGGAATTTTTGAAGCGGTAGTGATATTTTGGTAGGGTAGTTTTAGACTTGCTTTGTTTATTTGCATGCTGCAATGGGAAGGCGTTCCAGTTTATTTTTGGCAAGGATTGTAGTTTTAAGACACTGAAAAGCTATGCTTATCGAACAGTGTCCTGGCCTTTCCTCTCGATGTGACCACACCTCGTGATTCCTACAGGCCTGGAATTATAGAGAGTTGGTAACTCTCCTCACTCCGAGAGGAGGTTTCGTCATGTCGGGGACTCGGACCATTGACCCTTGGGTCTTTAGTCAGCGACCCTAACAACTGAGCCATCTTCGCACCTAAATTATAATCCTGTAGGCAGGGGGTGACGAGGCTCTTGGTGCCAATGTTATGGCTAACATATATTTTTGCAAAGCAAATAAAAGCATTATAATGAATATTTATTCCCTGCTTTGTCTAGAGTGAGAGTAACTTTGGAAACATGTTTGACAGGATTATAATATGTCTGTTCTATCATAATTTATTTATTATTAAAGTGGAAATGAAAACAAAGAAATCCTGTAGATGATTTCTAGGCGAGATGACATAACCTATGCAAAGGGGATTCCTAAAGCTGAATCATGCAAGTTTTCAACAGATCCTTTATTTTTAAATTTTCTTTTCCACTTTAACCAGTACACCGTACCCTAAAAAGCTCACATGACGTTGCCAAGCTTAAAACCAACGATGAGCACTATAAAACTGCTCAAAATTTGGTTAGAAGAGATCAAAACAAGGCGCCTTATAATATTGAAAATGCTTTTAAATGTTTTGGCAAATGCACTAAAAGAACACATAATTTTACTTCTTGAATAAAAATCTTTCTGAATAGCTATTATTTAGAAAGAAAAATAGCAAAAAACGTAACATAAGATTAGCATGAATTACAAGACTCTTTTGGGTGTAAAGAACAGAACGATTCTAAGCTGCTACTCCGAGTTTTACGCTCAATGCAATCACCAGGCAGCTGTTGAAAATACTCGTTCTATGCTTGTTATTATATCTTGATAGTATTGATGCTATCATATTGAAATAGGACACCGAATAAGTCGCCAGAAGTTCTTTCTCCTACGTTCTATCTCAACTGAGCAAGAAATCTAGATACCTTATTGTCTAAAAGATCTTTTCTATGTCATTATGAAATAAGTATTTTCCAGCTTTTTTCATAATTATCATTTCTTCTTTGCTGCCATAATAGTGGTAGGTTTCAAAAGACTATAGTAGCAAATAAGAAACACCGCAATACGCCGAGAATAAACAAAAATAAATATACGTAAATCAGTGAAGGCTAATATTTCGCCCCGGCATACGGGGCTTCATCAGAGCAAAATTTGACTGTTTTGTAACTAATTAAAATATGTTTCTAATTGCCTGATGACCGCACTAAACGTGAAACGTTGAATTGCAACTTTCTTGTCCTGTTCTATAAACTAACACGTGTACAGTTCTGTATCAGTGGCATCGAGTACATAATGATTGACCGGTAAACAGTAATTTTCATCAATACCTAGACAATACTCGTGACATTTCCACAAACTGGGTTTTCTGCTACGGTCTACTCCTTAATATACCTTATTGTCAAGGTTTGTTCTCATTAAGCTTTGTGAAAATGTATATTATAAAGAATAACTGAAAGAACTCTATATTTTCAGAAACGTTTCTTTGTTTTCCGTTCTAGCTTTAAGCCATTAAATTTGATAAAAGGGGTGTTACCGTTACTGAGTGAGGTTCGGGACAATATCGTATGAGAAGTGGGGTAACGCTGTTTAAGACATCTTAAGACATTTAAATTTATTTTAAAGGTATTTGACATGCATAAGTACAGCGAATCCAAAAATAACTTAGGCCAACTTTATCAGAGCACGCGCACAAGAAAGGTATTGAAAATCGCTCACGTGAAACCACTGTGCGCTGCTCTCGGATTTCACCGATTTGCAGAAAAACGGAAACTGTTCACGTGTTTTTTCTCTGTGTGCAATTTGATTGGTCAACCGCTCGTGGTCGAGTGGCTGTTAGCCATTTTTACCCGTGTCAAATGCCTTTAAGACTTCGCTCAAGTTCATCGCACTTTCAAAAACTTCTAAAGTTCTTCAACTGAAGCTTCTATAACTCAACTCCCCCTAGTTAACGAGAGAATATTCTTATTTTTTCATCTTATTATTGTGTTTTACATGCATCTACGGCGTTGGATGTGATTTTCTAAAACCTCAATGCTGAGAATCATTGTGCGCTGAATAATTGCATTCAAAATGAAACACCGGCTAAATTTCACACACGTAACATGAATTATAAATTCTGTTTTTTGCTTAAAAATTTCCGGCAAATCATTAATATTCTGAATGGCTTCAAAAATTCATAAGAATATTTAGTAAAACAGACATATTAAAACGTACCCCCTCTGTCGATGTTACAATTTTGGAGCTCATGGAAATCGGTTCCTGGTGTTTTTCTTTGCGCCGTTTCTTCTTCACGGGTAGCAAACTGCAGCTACTTGGACCATCTGCAGGAAAAACAGACACTTAAAGAGAAGAACAGTATGTAATGATATTCAAAAGATTGAAGAGAAACTTAGCTATTTTACAAAGTCCCTTCGCAGTGATCTATAAGAAACCCAATTCTTCAAGATATGAATGCAAAAACATGCTTTTTGCGTGGTTCCTCCAGTTCCTAAAATCTTAATATCAGGTCTGCCACCACTCTTGGCATCAGAGCCTTAAGTAAGCAAAAACATGCTTTTTGCGTGGTTCCTCCAGTTCCTAAAATCTTAATATCAGGTCTGCCACCACTCTTGGCATCAGAGCCTTAAGTAAGCAAAAATATGGTAATATGCGGTGGCAATGAAGGAATAAACGAGGAGGGGAAAGAATCTCTATTCAATTCCCAATTAAACATATTTCGGAGACTATATTTAAATAATAATTCTAAGATAAAGTTGAGAGATGCTGGCACACAGCCACATTATGGGAATATTTCTGAAATTTTAGAGAACTGCAATTAGGAGTAGCTAATGCGAAAACCATATATAACTTTAATGAAGCCAGTATTTCTAATCTCCTAAGTCAAGAGCTAGTCAGGCATGACCTCAAGTGCATTTAAATCCTCAGATAGTTCTCCATATGTCTCAAGAAAATATACGTTTAAAAAAAATTGGTTTAAAGAATCTTGCATTTGTGTTACCAAAGAGCAACACTGCTTACGTCTGTGAAAACCAAGGGAAATTTCGCCACGCCTGGGAAAACCGCGGGAAAGTCTTTTCACCAAGAAAGAGACACAAGGTCAGGAATGTGAATTTTTCCCTTTTTTCACGGCCTTCTTTACAAATACTTGTTACCATGGTAACACCCGGCACCCCATTGACTAAGGATGTGTAATTGGAGAAATAATTTTCCCATTTAAAATTCAATAAATGTGGTTGTCAAGGATGAACAAGGAAAAATGAATGACATACAATTGTTGGTCTTTTAAGATAAATATTTATAGAAACAAAGTCAGAATTTAAATTTTTAAACTTTAAATTTTTCATGACATTGTAAGGACATCCATTGTAGGGCCAGCCATTTAGAGAACATTGTATTGCGAAGACAGGACCTGACTTAAGGGTAAGTTCTATGAGTCGACCATTTGCATAGAAAAAAATTTGAACTTTTCACTTTGAAATTAGCAGTTTTTCGACTTTGGGGACTTTATAATCAAGAGCTTCAAATTTTGATTGGGTTGGCAGATCTCTCACAGCTAGTCGCCTAAACCGAACAGTCAAGATTATTCTCCCATTGCTTGCTGTCTTTATACCCATGGTAACAACATAGTTAAAAAGTAAATTCTAAGCTGTAACGAGTTCCAGGATGCCCCGTGGGCAAAAAGCAGCAGAACGTTTCTGGTGGGAAATTATTAGCTGGTGGCTGTACACCCCAGGCGCCCAGTTCATAGACCCCAGCCCCCAACTTCGTACAAACCACTCTAACTATCGGCTGCCTTGTTATGGAGATAGTCAAAATGCTTGCTTCACCTTGAAAAATCTCGCATTGCCCATCTTCAAAGGAATAACAACTCCTTATAGATACCTGTGTGAATGAATAAAGGCAGAGAAAGCAATGCACTGACAGCAAAATAAAAACAATTCTTGATACGAAACCTCGTTTGCGCTTGGTTCCAAAACTGACATCAAGATCCTCGGTATCTGAAGAATCAGGTGGCGATTCATAACACTGAAAATAAAAAACATTGACTTCACATCAGTATTGATTATCATAAAGTTTAAGGAACAGTGACTTCACATCAGTATTGATTATCATAAATTTTAAGAAACAGTGACTTCACATCAGTATTGATTATCATAAATTTTAAGGAACAGTGACTTCACATCAGTATTGATTATCATAAATTTGAAGGAGCAGTGACTTCACATCAGTATGAATTATCATAAATTTTAAGGAACAGTGACTTCACATCTGTATTGATTATGATAAATTTTAAGGAACAGTGACTTCACATCAGTATTGATTATCATAAATTTTAAGGAACAGTGACTTCACATCAGTATTGATTATCATAAATTTTAAGGAACAGAACTTCAATTGGCTACCTTTAAAAGAATTTATATTACACACATCTGTACCAGCCCCCGAACAAATCTCCCCCCCCCCATCCACCAAGTAAATCCATGCCAGGCTCATTTAAGACAGGTTCTGTCAGAAATGACAGATTCTTCAAAAGTTCATTGTATCAAATAAACAAACTTCAAACAGGCTCGATTAATTATGGCAGTACAGCGAAGTGGAAAAATTCAGAAAGGATCTTCTTTAAAATTTTGTATGATGATTTTGATTTTATCCAGACGGATGAGGAAAGCAGCAAGAAAGAATTAATCAAAGGAATAAAATTATACGTTCTTCAAGTTTAGCTTACACTTTAATAGGAAACAAATAATTGTGTTGGACGTTTTTGAAAATGAGCAAAACGAGAACAGAAAATTAAAATAATAAAAACGTGTTTGAATTTGGAGTCCAAACACAAACAAACCTTGTCACTGTCAGTGGAAAACAGAAGCAAATAGCTTGGAATGTTTCGTGTTCTTCGCTTTCTATCGTGCTGTTTGAATCTCATTTCTATAGAATACAAAACCTCAATATTAAAAACAAATTCTCAAGGAATCACGATGGGGAAACAGAAATACATCATGCTTCGACACGTGAAAGCTTCTCTCGTCCAGCATTCACTAAGAGTAAGGATCGCTGGGATAAAAAACAAAGGAAGAAAGAAATGAATAACGATAAAATGAATGTAAATCTTTACAGGTTGTGCCTCTTCAGAAGCATAGAGACGTTTATAGGGAATTTAGCATAAATCCTTTATTGATACAGGGATATGACAACATAGAAAGAGAAATAACAGGCAAAACAGAGAGAAATAAGCAGAAATTAGCTAAAAAGATTAAATTATTAAAAATGGTGAGTATTGAGTTAGAATAAGCATTAAAAAGTTGGAACCATCAAAATTTAAAACAATCTCCATTAGAACGAAAATCTGCAAAGAACATCAATAGTTTCAAACATAAGATCAAAGATGAATGCTTTGAAGATCTGTAAAGGCAAGAGGATAGCCCGTACATATTTTATTGAAAACCAAAATCAGCTTACGAAAAGGTGCTAGTTAACATTTTTTCCAACAAATTTTTTGTTTGATACAAAGTCCATTTTTCATGAACATTTCTTTTTTATAACACATCTGGAGGGGCAATTATGGAAACAAGGTTGTATTGACCTTTTTAATGGTATCCCTGCCATTTTCAACCTGGGGTGTTTTTAGTAAAAAGATCACTCTCTTTTTCTTTATTTTGAATTGTAATTTTTTTTATGGCAAAATAATACATACATACATACATGCATAAGTGTTCATACTTCATAGCCGTGTTTTTGTTGAAGCTCGAAAGCAACTTAATTGGGTATCCGCGATTAAATTGGTTTCAGAACTTCAGATATTGCACAACACGACGAGCACAGTTAAATACAAAGATTTACACTACACCTATACGTGCAGTCCATATAACAATCGTGGAGTGATAATGAGGGCAATCATGCATCGATTGCCTATAACGGCCTCATTTTTGAACGTAGGTCTTTGTACATAAATACAAGGAAAGCAAGGAAATAGACTTAGCAATCAATTAAAGGGGTTACCTCAAAACAACATTCAAAATTTTAGAATCTTTTGAGAATTTTTAAGGGTTCCTGCACACCATCCTTGAATATGGACCAATAGGAAATTCAGGACTTCCTGGGAGTCGACCACGGTCAAATTCACATAACACCAACATTGTGTATTTTTATCAAATTGCAAAAAGGCCTTAGAGCCTGATGTACCCAAAAAACACTTACCTGCATATCGTTCCTGATTGACAAGGCCAAGTTTCTCCAAAAATGAATCTTGCTACAAAACAACAAAAAGTAAGAATAAGTGAAATTTTTTATACAAAAGATAAGAGAAGCATTTTGCATCGAACCAAAATACTGAATCGGTGACATGATTTGCAAAAGGATTACTACTTATTCTAAGTCTTAAAGTAATTTGCAAAAGGTAACCTTTTTAAAACATTTTACACCATTCATCGTTACCTCGTCTTACTGATTATATCCTGAACACGCATAATTTCAAAAAAAACTTAAATTATATATTTAAAGAATCTCTCTCTTTATTTCTAATCATCTTCTAACACGATACAGACCGCAAACTATCAACAACCCTGAGATTTAAAAATCATATTCTCCAGGCATATATGTGATATTTTGTTCTTAGTTATCTAGCCACTCTGATCATGAATCATTGTCAAAAATCTAAAAGTGGCTCTCCATTTGATTGCGAATCCCTGTCGAAAATCTAGAAGTGATTTTCCCTTTGATTCTGAATCACTATTCAAAATCTAGAAGTGATTCTCCTTTTGATTGCGAATCCCTGTCGAAAATCTAGAAGTGATTTTCCCTTTGATTCTGAATCACTATTGAAAATCTAGAAGTAATTCTCCTTTTGATTGCGAATCCCTGTCGAAAATCTAGAAGTGATTTTCCCTTTGATTCTGAATCACTATTGAAAATCTAGAAGTGATTCTCCTTTTGATTGCGAATCCCTGTCGAAAATCTAGAAGTGATTCTCCTTTTGACTCTGGATCACTATTGAAAATCTAGAAGTGACAATGATGGTTATTTACTATCACAGATCTACTGGTGATTCTTATTATCATAATTAACTACTATCGGACACAAAGCATTGATTTTCGTGAGGTACATAAATCATACTAGTTGATAAACGATCAATACGAGTTCTAAATAGTCTCCAAGAAACTTCTTAGAGACCTGTTGTATTCACGTTAGTCACAAGTAAGACCCTCTTCTAAGCTACTGCTGTTGTTGTTGTAATCACATATAATTAGAGTTCTGTTCTGTTCTTCTCACAAATGGCGTGATTTTCTAGTCTAAACTCTAGATACAGGCAGGTTACAACAAGACCCCTCGCCTAAGGAATTCATACAAATACGAGTTCACTCTATATTTCAAGTTATTTATTGATTTATCGATCTATTGATTTATTGATTTATTGACTTATTGTAATAAAGTTACCAAGTTGACTTTGTTAAATTTTATTACATAAAGTGAATGAATGGTATGAATTTACACTAAGAACCAACTGAAATAAAGAGGTAGGCAATGATAATACCAGATGGTAAGATAATAATAAAGAGGTAAGATAAGTATAATGCCAGACATCTTCTATTTGAAAGAACTGGAAATCATTCGTTGCTAATAGGCTCTTCACATTCACATTCTTCACGAAACTTCCAACGTTTCACTCTTGACAATCGTCTGAAGAATGTTTCCAAAAATCTTACGATACACAGAACAACATAGAGAGTTTGCAAAGCAGAATATGATTTAAAAATTTCAACAATATCAACGTGAGCTCTTATTGGATACAACCTCTCTCATGCAAGAATTAAAAAGAAAATAAAACGGCAAATTCTTACTTCAGCAGAATGGTTCTTCGACTTTACAGTGGATGACTTTTCGGTTTTCCAAACTTTAAAATCCTCCTCTTTCTGTAAATTTAGTTAAAAGCGAAATTAGTTACTGAGTAGTCTAACTACGGACACTAAGAACAGAACAACATAAGGTTTTAGGACCAGTGTGCTTGTCCTAAAAAAGACGATATGTTGAAAATACGTTTCCTCCAATAACTTTTCTTGTATTCTATATCTCTCCTCCAATTACCAAGCCATTTCGAAAACAAACCCAATAGGAAATAAAAAACCGAGGGGCACTTCTCTCTTGCAAATAGCGTAAGAGATTTTCCCTATAAAACAAAGGATTTCCAGGGATTTTCATATAAAACAATAGGATTTTCACCAAAGGTGTACGAGATTTCCTTAGAGTGATTTGCCCCTCGTAAAAAATAATAATTTTCGACCCTTTTTAAGGTCAACCAGTGACATCCTTTTTTTATGAAGATGCCTGGTCCCTAAGCAAACAGTCCAACTGTATGTGGACAGAAAAAAACATACAGCAAATATCAACTAAGTGAGCAACCTTAGCATTCTTCTCCTGTATGATTTCTAGCTTTGGCACTTTAATAGTTATGCTTGGTGCAGCCTTTGGAGATTTGTCTGGAATAATCTGCAATAAAAGAAAATGCAGCATTAGCATTTATATCAAGCCTTGCAACTAGACAGGGAAATTTTGTGAGCAATCTAGCAAAGAGGGGGTAACCGGAATTTTTTCTTTTGACATGTGTTCCTGGTGGGTCCTTGACTTAAAATCCGTCAGGGACCCTAAAATAAGGGAGCTGCTGGTCACGTGATCAAACAAGGATATCGTTCTTAAAACCAATGGTATCGTTAGAAAGAACATGCAAAAATGAACAAAAAATCATGAGAAACCTATGTTGTAAATTATACCTGTCCAAGATATGACCTCTAAAATTTTTGCGAAAATGTTGTCATCAAACGAGTGCAAACTCTTTATCATGTCTTTTCTCGCTTATTTCTAATTGCTTTGACAAGTGCTAAATATCAAATTAGCCCAGGATTACTTTGTGGAGACAATCGAACTATTTTCGATACGAAATATTCATATTTGATTCATCTTTTGACGTCACCATCATTTCAATTAGAGAAAGTGTCTGAAATTTTCTCCTGCACTTCCTTATATACAGCATGAAGCGCCAGGATCTCTTTGACCAGCTCTCAGGAAAGACCTTTGTCATTTACTCTTGTTTGGAGATCGGAATTTGGGTACAGTTGCAAACAGAACTATATAAGAAGCAACAATTTCCTTCGTTAAGGCCTCTGCAGATCAAATTTATGCTGAAATACAGCAGCAGTACTCCTTTCATTTCTTTCTCTAATTATAAATTTTTTTATTTTCTTTTTCTTTTTTCTTAGATGATGTAACTTGTTGTTGAATTGTATGTGGCATTCATGGTGAGGACTCGATGACCTTGTGTCTTTCCTCGCCATGAATGTCACAGCTTAATGTAATTGCAGTTAAGTAGTTTTTAGTTGTTCTTAATTGATATAAAAACAATCAAATGATTGATCATGTGACCAACAGCACCCTTATTTCAGGGCCTCTGGTGGATGTTGAGTCATAGACCCACCGGGATCACATATCAAAAAAAAAATTCTGGTTACCCTCTTTGCTAGACTGCTCATAAAATTTTACTGTCTAAATAACCATTTGTGTTTTTCATATTCAAACACAACTAAGAATCGTTTATAGCAAGCAACTGTTTCCAATTTCAAATCCTTTTTTCAAAAGCCATCAAAATTCTTCTTCTCACAAGCCAGAACAAAGCAATCCAAACTTCAAAAGCAGAAGTTGTATTATAAGATAAGAAGTTGCTCAAATTTTATCTATAACCAATTCATACTTGCCTTGATCGTTTTCTTTGACTGAAATTCTCCATTTTTATACTTGGTGAGATTTTCCATCTTAACTGATTTGCGGATTTTCTCAATCAGTTGTTTCTAAAACATATATTAGCATAAAAGTATTTTCCATGAACAAGGAAGATTCATTGTCTTAAAACTCAATTCTATAGGCCATATCATTTCAAGTTGCAAAAGCAATACAATTTCTAACTGATAAACAAAAAGTCAATACAGCAATGAATGTATTTATATTTTCTACAGTCCTCAGATTCTTCCACAATAACCTCCTTGTGATATAGTATATTTTGTCTCATTATGTAAAAACTGGTGTATCGGCTTTCTTTTCATAAACCAACAGACAGCTTAGCTTTCAAGATGGGTAAATGAGTAGCCAAGACAATCATTCTAGAATATCAGTCTGGGGGGCACAAAATGTCGGCAAATGTACTTGATAAACTCTAGATAATTTCATCTTGGCATGTGCTGTTGTCCTATTTGTTTCCCCTTTTCCTTTTTTTCTTAATTTAATTTTTCCTTTACATCGACAAAACCTTCTTCAAGAAGTAGTTGATTTATCGTGTAGAAGAAGCAAAAGTAGAAGTAGAAGATATCAGGGTTGAAGCACCCTCTCCCAATCCACCACCAATTCTCACAAGGTGTGCCAAATATAAGGTTAAAATGCTAATTTGTCTCACTTTTGGGGATGACAACAGTGGCTGTCCAAAATTATATAAGAGGATACACTATGGAAAGCTGCTATGACAAGCTATTTTGGCAAGAAACCTTACATTCTTAGGTAAAGGTTAGTCCTGTATTCGATATCAAATGTTGGGGAATGCGATGTTGGGGGCGCATCATCCTGACCCGAGGCATTGTGTGGTGGCATTGTGAGGTGGCATTGTGTGGTGGCATTGTGCGTTGGTATTGTGTGGAAGCATTGTGTGGTAGAGTGGCCAGTTCCTCTCCATGCTGCTTTTTACCTCCCTAGTTTCAACTAGGTACCAATTGTCAGTTCAGTGAACTGAGGGCCATCCATAAGCTAGGATTGAACCCCCGAGCTCTGGCATGGCAGTTGAGTGACTTAACTACTTGTCTACCATGGCACACCACTCAGCTCCTCCCCCCCCCACTGGTTCCTTGGTCTAGGCTGATCTATACCAACCATTCTCCTACAATACAAAGAAGGTAAAAACATTCCTAAAACCCTTGTACATTGCTTTATAAAGAGCTTTCAGCAGTGTAAAGTGGTGCAGTAAAATGCAAAGCTCAAACCTGTTCTCGATTGAATGAAGTGACTTCATCATGGACATTTCTTATCTTCTCTTTCCTTGCCTCCTACAAAAAATAGTTTGAATCTTACCAATGGAAAATCGAGATATACTTTTAAATTTGTTTTATTTGAAAATTCTTAAAGCTTCTAGTTTCTAATCACAAAATAAAAAAGAGAATTTCACCATACTGTAAAACTGACAATGATTACTATACATTTAAAAAACTATTACATTCCCAAACCCCTAATTATAGTAGGCAGAGAGAACTGATTTTTTTTCTAGATGATGCCAACTTTGTTTCAATCATATGTTTCAAGGCTTGTTATGTCTACACACATAACAATGGCACTATAATAACCACTGCTTTATCAACTGTTTGAAATTGTTGACAGCTTCCGAGAATTTCCTCTTGTTTGCTAAACTATTCCACATCTTGAGACCCAAAGCTCTGAAGCTGTTTTTACTAAATGTAGCTTGATTCAGTCTGTCGTTTTGTGGGTTGTGGGAGTTTCTTGAAAAACAATTTAGATTAGAAACTAATTTGAAATGGAAAAAAATATCCTGCATAAAAGTATGAGTGTGCTTCTCATAGTCTGGTGAAATTCAATGCACAAACTTCGTAGACAATAGACATGCTTCTTGCCTGCCTTACGAATAAGACATTCATAAGTACAATCATTTTAAAGAAATGCCCTCAAGGCCTTCCCCTGTGATTGGTTGATTATGATAATCGGGGTGTAGAGGGAGGGGGTGTAACACCCCCCAAGACTTCATGAATTTGTTGGTAAATCTTCAGTTTGTCTACAAAATTCTTAATTTGTTGATAGAATCATCTTTCAGTAGGTGAGATAGAATAGCACCTAAATTCTTCTTCATCTATCTCTTCATCCGTAAATTTTCCTATTGATGACCCACCATCCCCTAGTCTGGAAGGTCAAGCCACGCCACTCATGATTGTGATTATCATCACGAAAAAGGTGGTATAGTTAAAAAAACACTTTTTTACCTCTTCATTGCTGCTAAGGGTTTTGATGAGCATCTAGAACAAAAATTAAAATGAGGAATTATTAAACAAAACTAAAAACATTTCAACATCTTACTACAAACAAAGAGTGACCAAATGGTAAGAGTGTTTGCAAGTGGGTTGCATCTAGATATATTTTCAACATTTAATTAGAGTGCTCCTCTCTCCATCCCTCACAAAGCAGTGAATTGGTACAAATTGGCAAAACTCGGGATAGTTAAGGCAGCAAAGAAAGGACCAGGCCATACTACAACATCATGGCGTGACTAAGAAAGAATTATTTCTCAATTCTTAATTTTTTCTTATTCCCTATAGTAGATTTAAAAAAAACATTTTCAAACATTATCCATTAGATAGTCACAATTTTAGAATATTGTGTATAAATCTAATTGCCATCAGACCGAAAAAATTGTTTCTCAAATTCTGAAATTGTTAACTTACAAAAAAACAAAATTTATCCAAAACTGCTAGATGTTGGTTTATAGTTTTAAATGTTACAGCAATGGTTGTGTTTTTGCAAGAACTTTTAAATGAGGCAGTTATCATATGGAGTGTTTCAAAAAGTTGCATGCCAAAAACCACTTTGGAATGACAAACGTAAAAATGAACCTTTGTTTTGTGCTCATGCATTTCAGAATAACCTTAAAGAAGGTATTTACATTTGACCTCAAAGTTCTCTCTCCTTAAAAAATAAAATAACAATGATGTGCAATCTTTGGAGGCAGTGGGTGTCAATGAATTTGATATGAGATCTTCAAGCTCAATTTTTGTTTAGTTTTTTTCCACAGCTAAGGAACTATAAAATCCTCCAAGGTAGCTTTTATTGTCAAGAATGAACTGCATTTTTGTTTTGTAGGGAATTGTATTTTACTAAATTGCACTATATTACATCCAAATAGAGTTATTTTCCAAACAACTAACACTAAAAAATTACAAAATTTTAAATAACAGTTACAATTAAGAGCAGCAAGAATGAGAACTACATTTTTTTAATGGAAATGACATCAATATTTAAATATAAAAGAAGAGAAAAAATTAAATACAGAATTCCCAGAATCCTAATGCAAAGGAAATCAATTGAAAATGTCTCCAAAACATGTTTCACAATTGGCATTTTTCTAATTGAAACAAAAAGGATGGATGCTTAACTAAATTAAAACAGCTTACAAAAAAGAGTTGCTCATAGATGGAGGATTTTTAAATAAAATAGCAATTCATCAAATGTTTCCTGTTCATAATTAGGAGACTGGATAATTAATGGTATAATCTAATTCAAAATAGCTAAAATAATTAGAAAGAATCTATAACCAAATTAAATTAAAATGCCTGTATGCAAAGCTAATGCTATTACTCCTAAAAACAGTAAATCAGAAATTTGGTATAAATTTTGCAAAGTGGAAACCCACCTTCATTTGTGATAAAAATGTTGTACACTAGTGTATACCAGAAGAAAAGGTAAAATAAAATGGTTTCAGTAAAGTTTTAAACATTAAGGGGCAGTTAACTACACCAGGAAAGAAAAAAAACCAAAATACAAAGTGACAGCTTTCCATTTCTAAAATGAATCCTTCAATAAAAAATAGAGACACAAACAAGTTTTTAGTTTTAACAATGTTTATCAAAAATCCAATACATTATTGTCACAAAATCTGAAAATAGTTGCTTGTAAACAAACAACTCAAGGCAGAAATTTATTTTTGGAAATTGTAATTTTTACATGCTAAGTAATTGCCTCAAGTTTGACTGTTGGAAAATTAGATAAGAAACTATTAAATCAAAGCTGTCTAAAAGTTTTATCTGTAAGAGGAAGTTTTAATTTGACAGGTTTTGGGTATGCCAGAGGAACCTTCAGGGTTTGGTAAAGAAGATGATTGTTAAATTTAACATTCTCATATCATATTTCATTCCAATGTGACAGCTGTCTCCCTAAACATTTAAGGGTAATAAACATGAAACTGCAGTCAAAGTTTACTATACCAACGAGGTCTGGGCTTTGATTAATAAATAAAAATATTGAATTCTGCCTTTTAAATGCAACATGGCTATAATTTTCTGTATTTAGATGGCTGTAAATGCGATTGATCATTTTATTACCAAAGACAAATGCGAAACTGCAGAAGAAAGAGTTTTCGGGGCTGGTCCGAAAAACTCTACGTACCCGCAGCTTAAATCGCAATTGGACCTCAATTCATTGTAAATAATTCGGGAAAACGAGGAATCTGCAGTTTGGTTAAATAATACTGAGATCTTTGAAGATTTTGCTCTTTGTTTTAGGACTTTAGGGGAGTCTATAAAATCTGCAGAGAAGTTCCTCTTTTAAATTCATGTCATTTTTCTCAAAGAGCTGAGTCGAGAAGCCTGAAAGAATTTACATGCTGCTCTCCTAGCCAAGTTTGAAAGCAAAATTTCACAATTGATTTATTGACTGTAGGCTTCATAAAATTGTGAAATTTCCAAAAGCTTCTAAACTTCTAGTTGAGTAATCGACTTTTGCTTTGTAGGGAGGAATGGAGAAAATCGTGACAAACGATGAGGTATCCTTGAGGTGAGTGACATTTAGCTAGGATCCCAAGGCCATTCATGAATGATCGAGCAAAAACTCGTGTAAAGTCTGGTGAAACAAAAAAAAGGTAAAATAAAGTCACATTTATTATCAAAAGAAATTTGCATGGAAAACAAACCTGATGTTGTGCAGATATCGACTGCAGTTGGCTGTGGAGTTTTTGCAAATCCATTTTATTTGATACAACGCTCGGCTCTCGTCGATTTCGTGAAAACCAAAAGGAATCCAATGCTCCAATAGAACGTTCTGTAATTTGCCGAACATCTGGGTTAGCCGAGATACTCTGACGTCATATCGCAAAAGTTACCGAGATTAGAGACAAGAAAGGGTGCAAGCAGGAAAATAGACAACCTTCTGAACTGCAACTTCTTTGAGGTACATTCAACAGAGAAACATCAAATTCAGAAGTCTAGCACGCGTTTCAAGTCAAAGACAGGGGTGCCGAAGGTCAGGGGCGCAAAAGAGGGTGGGTGGGGGTGGGGGATTACAGCATTTTCTGCCCGAAAGGAGAATCACTCCATGGAAATTGCGTAACCTATTATTTCATTAGTAAATCCGTATAAATCTTTTTCTAGTGAAAATCGCATAGCAAAGTATATAACAAGATGAAATAGTATAACATAATATAGAATTATTTTTCTTTAAAAAAATATAGTAAAGTATAGTATAGTATAGTATAGTATAGTATAGTATAGTATATTTTAATATAGTATAGTATAGTATAGTATAGTATAGTATAGTAAAGTATAGTATAGTATAATATAGTATAGTATAGTTAAGTATAGTATAGTATAGTATAGTATAGTATAGTATAGTATAGTATAGTATAGTATAGTATAGTATAGTATAGTATAGTATAGTATAGTATAGTATAGTATAGTATAGTATAGTATAGTATAGTATAGTATAGCATAGTATAGTATAGTATATTATAGTATAGTATAGCATAGCATAGTATAGGATAGTAGAGTATAGTATAATATAGTATAGTATAGTATAGTATAGTAAAGTATAGTATAGTATAGCATAGTATAGTATAGTATAGTATAGTATAGTAGAGTATGGTATGGTATAGTATAGCATAGTATAGTATAGTATAGCATATTATAGTATAGTATAGTAAAGTATAGTATAATAAAGTATAATATAGTAACGTAAAATAGAAAAGTTATCTCTGGTTCCAAAATTGAGGGCGTGCAATGAGGTCTTTCCGTCAGAGTTGTCTCGATATTGATACCATCTCAAATAGTTTAGTTTTATCTGGATCGTCCGTTCCCGAAGAGCATTTCACAAAGCCATTCATTGGAGAATTTCTATCTACTTTAGTACTTTTTAATGTTCTTACTAATAGTCTCAAGCAGAAAATTATGGAGCTACTTGTAAAAAGCTAGATGAGAATAATTCTAATCCCATTTTGCGCAAGAGCCCCCCCACCTTGTTACTTATTAAGCACTACAAGCCCGTGAAGGTGCCAGGGATGCTTGTAGAGGAAAATATACACTAATGAAGATGTACACAAAGAGAACATTGTTTTTTTACATCATCAGGTGATTTTATCAAACATAAGATTATTTTACCAGCAAAAAATCCAAAATCCCCCGGCCCATATTTCCCAGTTAACAAATATTTTCCTTTATCATTTCGATAACATAGTCTAAGTTGTTTAATAAAAACCTATGTATATTTCCATCTTAAAATTCTATTAAAAATATATTAACAATTTTAGGATACGATGAAAAAAATTCATGATGGAAGCAAACATGTTCCTTAGATTAAAATTATACGTATGCTGCAGTGAGTTGCAAAATTGTTTTTCTCCCCGAATTTTTATTTTAACATAAAGAAAAAGGCAATTTAGCATTTAACGCTTGATAATTTTGTAAGTAAATTTTAGTTGTAATTTTTATGTAAAAACATTGATGCTCTCATAGTTTGACAAAATGTATATTTTATGTTTAAATGGCCTACATACTGAGTGCTTCCTAGAACTAAAAAATAGATTCTATTCAACAAAGTGAAATTGGTTAATCGGAAAAATACCTAACACGTTATACTTTAAATTAGAATTTATAAATCTTCACACTTGAACATTTAAAGGCCATGATGAAATTTACTCACCGTGTTGGTAGCATCAAATGGAAAAAGGGAATAAAAAGAGAGAAGCGTAAGTTTAAAAGAGCAGATATTGTAAGACATACTTAATCATTTTAAGACATATTTTTCACCCTTGAACAATGTAATGACCTCTTTTTGATTGGCCTATTTCGATCCGCAACTGGGTGTATATATATAGATGATCAGTAAAAAAACAACTTGAAGAAACAATAAAGAAGCATTCTATATATATTCTGAATCATTCTTCAAATATTCTGAAGAAGCATATTGCGAAACGTTAATTAAGTTGTTTTTTTACTGATCATCTATTTAAATATTTAAAAAACATTACAGTCTAGAGCTTTTGAATACATATATATGTATATATAGAAATTTGTCTTTTGATACTTCCGTAGCACAGTGCTCAATACGTTAGCACGTAGAGCGTGATATATCATATAGTTGAAAAAAGTAAAACTACATGGTTTATCTCTACAAGCCTGTTTCGTGAGTAACTCACTCTTCAGGAGGTTTCAAATATATATATATATCTATTTCCTAGCTTGGGATTTTTATCGCCTATTTGAGGTTTTATGCTGTGAAGTGTGTTAGACGAGAAGCTCTGGCATGCGTTATAATGCCTTTATTAAAGTCATTATTAAATTTAAACACCCATAAAAATTGCGGATCGAATAGTAATTTTAATGAAATTACACAAAACTGCACAATGGGCGTAATCACGATTTTGAATTGAATAAGGAACACTAAAATCGAGAAATTTGATGCATTTTCCAGTTTGTGATTGCAAAAAAATGTTTACAAAGACTACGTTGTTTTGTTTCCGGTTTCTTAAAGGTTTGAGTAATTAGAAAAAACTTTTGTAAACATCAAAGACTTGTAATTAAATAAAAAAATTAACGACATAAAAGAAGTAAAATAATGCTTCTAGTTTTTTTGGGGGCAGACGAAATTATCATTCTATGATTTGGGGTTGAAGATTGAAAAAATGGAAAATCACAACTTCTGCAAATAACGATAATTCTTCAAAATACTGTGTGGAAAACTGAATATAAAATGGAATTGAATAAGCAAACGCCATTTTGAAATTCTGTACCATGAAAAGATTGTTTAAAAACGAAACATGTTTGGAAATAGCAAAATTTCCGTGCATCTTATCAGCTAGAAATACATTTTGGTACCTCAACTGATAAAACTTAACGCTGGAACAATACCTAAAAAGATATTATAATATAATTCAAGATTGAAGTGACATAGATTGATAACAACCAAGTTGTCTCTAACGATTTTTTGAATGAAGGGAGAAAACAAAGATATTAAAACTGATTAATGACGAGTAATTTTGTTTATCAATAAAAAATTGGATTTGCTGAGTTCGGGTAAGTTTGTCAAAATTTTTTAGCTTTTTTAACTTGCAAGTTTAAAGTAATGGCGATACAGTTAGGACTTAACTAAATTTATCAGAATAAAAATTGCAGCATTATGCAAAAAACGAAGTTTTTGACAAGGCCCGATTCATTATATCGAATCAAGCGTTGATAAGAATCCGGCGCTTAGGTATCTGAACCCGGCGTTTTTAGTTATTGTTATTGTATATAGGTTATTTAAAGTTAGTTTTTACAAAAGTAAACGATCACAAAAGTGAGACTACATGCACATTTGGTTTTGAGAACTGGAGTTTTAATCGAATTCTTGAATTGTGTAGTATTTTCGGCGTTTATTTGAATCCGGCATTTATTTGAATCCGGTATCAACTTGAATCCGGCATTTATTTGAATCCGGCATTTATTTGAATCCGGTATCTACTTGAATCCGGCATTTATTTGAATCCCGCGTTTATTTGATTTCAGCGCTCAGCGGGATATGGCTTTTATACGAATCAAGCATTTACTTGCCAACACCGCAAACGAAATGTATTTATCTATTTCATCATCAAGGAATTTGTATTTTTTCGGCCTGTTTGCAACATTCCTTTTTGATCATGTATAAAGATTCAAGCTGGCTTGTGGACTGCATTCTTTATTGTACAAATTCTAACAGAGCCCTTTTGTTCTCTAAATAGCACCCTAGGCGACTGACCTCTACCCTTTTATCTCTGATTGGCAGATGATTGTAATGGGTTCCCCTTAAAAGAACATTTAGTTGCCAAGACACATTTGCTACTTCTTTCTGATATTAATTTACAGAAACAAGGCAGCAAAATAAAACCGAATTAGTAGTTGATAAAATAATCAATGAAATAATATTGCGGTTATTCGAAATTCCAGGTCTACATTTCTAAAGCCAATAAAATAACATACAATCTCACACGTCTCAATAAGCTAGCAATAGAAAGAAGTGCAAAACTAGCACGAAAAATAATGATAAACTGTCTCAAACAATAACAAACAAGATAGCATGACTCAAAAACTGTCTTAATACCAGAAAAACTACATTAGGCACGCAAAATATGATAGATTTTGGAATGAATTCAAAAAAGTTTTGCCAATAATTGGAAATTAGTGCGATAAATTTCGATACGATCATAAAATGCTTAACTATTAGAAATATACTATAAAAATGAAAATGTTAATGATTATCGACTTGCAATATAGTTAAAGGGTTGAGTACAAACAAGATAATAATGATAATACAAATCAGTTGGTAAAACTGTCTCTGAAATAAAAGGTATTTTGTATACTTGCTTTTCCAGGAATAATAAAACTCATCTTTTTCTGTGAGCTCGTTGTTTGTCAAAGCGCAATTCCATTTCCTCCAGGACTGTGAAGAAAACAAATAAAAATACAGCCTTTAAATAACAGATTGCTCAATAAAGAATTTTTAAGTACATTCAAAATGTTGTATATTATGCATTCTAATGTAAATAGCAACATTAAGAAAAGTTCTACTTTCGACCCAAATTTCTATAGGGGCAAAGAAATACAACAGACCTTATTCAGTCAAAAAGGGGTTATAAGCTGCTCAAAATTGCAAATAAACTGCTGAGCTACGTATTTAACGTCTTTCGATAAGCTCGTGTAATTGGCTTACATTTGCTAGACTTTTAAACCTCATCTACACGACCAATTTCTCTAAGGCAAGTTTAATTGAAAAGTGTCGTCGATCGTGTACATTTGCAACACGTTTTGGCCATTTTTACGTTTCTCAATCAGGCCGACCAAGCGGAACTTTTTCCCGTGCCACAAAGACTTAAGTTGAACTGTAGCAAAATTTTTCCCACTTGTGTCACAGAAGCAGCTTTTGTACAAGTTTATACAAGAGCCTAGGCTTGCAGAACATATAAAACACGTTAGACAACAAGATGTAGCTGTTGGCGATTTTGTATGAAGCTCTGCCATCAGTTTGATACATGTTTGCCAGAGTTTGGAAGAAATCACAGCCAAAAAACTGCCTAAATGCGGGTGGGTATTCGAAATACGATAATATTGTTACCTATACATGGTAGCTGTTAGAAAACAGTAATTTACTAAATTCATCGCACTGGTTACAGTCTGCCAATCAATATAGGCACACAAAGTAAACATTGCTTGTAAGTATATTTTGATCTTATCAAGTTAACATGTGTTACGTCACTTAGTCCCAGGCTCCCCTGTAGATATATATATCAAGACTATAATTACATAATAAATCCTCAATAAAACATTCTTTCCATTTGTTACCCTCTAGCTTTACGCCCTAATGAATGGGGCTGCTTTATCTAAACATTGCATGTCAAACAGAAACTTGCGCACATAGATGAGTCAAAGCTACTAGTTATCTAAAAGATAAAGTGCTCTCCAGCAGGGTTGTAGTACCATGAAAGAACAATTGAGGCCTCGCTAAAACTTTCTACAAAAACAAAAGCAATGACTATCTTTTGGTATTGATTGGGGGGAGTCAAGAGCCCCTTTGAGCCCCCAGTGCTACGCCCCTTCTTTTCAGTTACTTTAATTACTACTTCATCTTTTAATGAAGATTAATATAATAACTTTAGATAGAGATTCCAACACACCAGACAAAACTTACTGATGAGCAAACAAAGACTGAGCGAGATGTGATGATACTCAACATATTTTTCCATGAATTCAGAAAAAATAATAATTTTTGTTTGGCAGTAAACAACTGGTCTGTTGTAAACGGAAGAATCGATTTGCATTGCAAACTGGAGGCTCTTGTTTATATCAAAATGTTTGCGTCGGTGATCATACACAACAATCATTTATTACTGTTCTGTCCACAAGGACATCAAAAATTGAATATCAGTTTCAGGCATGCTTTCAACAAACCGGGATGTGTTAAATTTTACTTTAAGAAATCTTAACGTCAAAACTCGAATTAGGCGAGTACAGGTCCTGGATGCAGGGTCCCTAAGAGTAGAAAAAAGCAAGAATTTTAAGGAACTGCCCAATTTCTCCAAAAACATAGGGTTATTAACTCCAATGCATGTTCGATTTTATGCAGCTGTGATAATTTTCCATTTTGTTTCTGCCCCCTCTTCAACGTTCGCGTTAAAACCTATGGCCAATTGTTAAAATGAAATGCAACATTTGAATGTAGTTACAAACTTGGCCTATTTTCATTTGATTGTAATTACAAATTTGGCCCACATTTGAAATTCGGACTTTGTCATATAAAACCCTCAACAAAAGCTTTAGCAAGGGCCAACAACTAGTTACAATTTTACAGGGGCAAAAGGGGCTCGCTTTAGGCTCATACAGTAAATCGCTGCAGAAATTCAACTATGGGTACTTTACATTTAACACCGCCGCTAATATCAGAGTTCATGTGACAAAGGAGAAAATTGTAACCAGATGTTCGGTTTTGTATTTCTTGGGTACAGTTAGTGCGGTTCGTTTAAGATATGGGCAATAAAGAAATCCCGAATATTCTCTGGAGATCTTCCATTATGATGTTTGAATAGGGAAACTATATCGGCTGTCAAATTCATTAACAATGGAATGGGAAAACAGATGGCCAAAAGAGATCCGCATCAAATCTCATAACCGGCCCAACTCAAGAGATGAACTACCATAAACGGATTTTACATGTGTTATACAAGCTGTTCGTACTCACAGGATTGTACAATGTCCTCAAATCTGATAATAAGGATCATGAACAGATGGGAATTTTGACGCTCTTCACGTTGAAAGTTTTGTGTTAAACACAGTGATTTGGTTTGATGAAGCGCAACATAAACAGGAAAGATCGTTTCAAGGTGAGACTGTTTTCTATTTCGTTATGAATGAATTTTTGTAGCTATACTCAGATAAAGGTGAAAAAACAAAATGGATCACGATAAATAGAAAAATCAAAGCCATGAAACAGGCGTTTGTCATATTCAGTAAAACAGGGCTGTAAGGATTTGGAAATGAAAAAGGACCGAACCCAAGTAACCGATTAAGATCATTACTTCACGGTCGATACTTGTTAATCGAAGAGGCAGAAGCGGACACAAGTTTAGATAAACAAACAAAGTTGCAATCATTGGGCAGGCTCAAAAATTTGCTGTTTCTTAAGATATTTTAAAAATTGCCTTTAATTTTTTTAGAAATTTTTTGAAGTGTTAAAATGTTAGAAAAAACTTTCATGCATCATATTAATTTCAAAATAAAAAAGAGCAATAAAGAAGTGTCCGTGTCCCCTTTTTTCTGTTGACAGAGGCCGTTAGTACGGTGCCTAATTTTTTCGAATTTCCCTGGGACTTTGAATAGCTTGAGTATTACTTCTATACCTTCCCTTTCTTTATACCGAATGCATTTCCAACTCTCCAAACATTATAACTACCGTAAGGGCATTAACTATGGATATGTATTCAGTATAAAGATGGGGATGGGATAGTGAAGATGGGGGCCCCGATCAAAGGTAAACATCATTCAAGTCACAAGAAAATACATGATTCCTAGAGTTATAACTTGTGTTTTGGAGAAAATTTTTTTAAAAGGGGTAGATGTAGCTTTTTACGACATTATAAGTTGATGTTATTGTTCCAAATCCTATGGCAGTGATTATGTGTAAATTTTTGGCTTTCTCGCTGGGGAATTGGATGCTCTACTAAACATTTCTGAAAAAAATGGCATTTTCAAAAAGAGTTTGAACAGAGAAATTCAAGTAGCAATGTGTAGAGCACAGAATAGAGTTCTCTATTCTGTGTGTAGAGTGAGCACTTTAATTCAAAAATCAAATATCAAAGAAAATTCAGTCTTTTTGGCTTTAACGTCATAAAGCTTTGCATTGAATTACGGCATTGACTACTTTAAACTTGAAAATTTTGGGGTTATTGTATGAATGATTGATGGGGTAAGGGGACACCGTTTCAAGATAGGGGTCACTTATCACTTGACATTTACAGTCAGACCATGAACTTATTTCAATTTTGTCTTTGAGTAATCTTTTTGCTGGCGATCCTTACCTCGTGCCAGGCTTTGAAAAAAATTTAAGAAACATCGATAACTGGTTTTAAGCATTTATATCAGTCGATTTAAGCACCCTAAAAGCTGTAATTCTTTAGAAAAAGGTCAATTTGAGTTTAAGTTTCTAAGAAAGTCAACATGACGTTAAAACTGATGTGAAAACACGGTGTTGATTCATTGGCGAAGCTAAAACAATCACTTAGTGTTAATAGTCAGTCGTTGCTGGAGACTAAAGAAGAAAATATGAAATTTTTATGAGCCTAAACAAGTGCGTAACTAAAGTGAGGAATTTCGACAGCAGGACAGGATTGAATACTGTGAAAGCGTACTACAGGTCAAGTCAATTGCCTCATTGCTAACAAGTGGCGGGTGAATCGCAATCAAAACAGCATGTTTCGACGAGTATTTGGCAAGTTGGTGCAGAAAATTGAGCGTTAGCAAGTCAGCGGGTATGTTTGCGTTGTCAGTACGGAGCTTGTATTTTTTCTGTCGCGCATCATATTGTTGTTATTAAGGAATAGTTCAAAAGGCGATTAAAGGTTTAGGCTTACTCGATTAGCAATCAGCAGTCGACGGCTTGATTTGACTATTAATGCCACGACTCAGTTAAACTGTGCTTGGGTATGTATTGATAAATGATATTGATTAGTTTCTTGAACGTTGTGTAAATAAGCGATGTGTCAATCACTAAGATAACTTCAATGCATTAAGTAGATCGATACATGGTAAAATCAAACAAAGAGTTCCTGATTACGAAGTCATCAACATAATATGTTGGTAGCACACGCATTTAAAATTATTTCTTTCATGAAATCGGACCTTAAAGATATGATTAAAGTTGTTTAAGATCTTAAAGATTCAGAATACATGACTTCATCATGTGAGTACGAGAAAATGTTTGACAGGGCTCCAAATACCTATTAGATAAAACTCTTTACCTTGAATAAATTTTCTACTCTCGGTTGAAATAATTATGACTTAATCAGATTTCACCAAAAAACAAGCCATTATTTCGTCTATCAACCAATAATCCGGCTCACATCACAAAATGGGATTGGAAGATGACCCAAGTAAAAAAGAGAAAATCTTAGAATTATCTTAATCACTTTGACGGGTCTAATCGACGTTTTGAAAAGAATTTCCGTAGTTTCAACTTCACTCGTACAAAACTTGAGAACACAACGTCACTTGCACATAATTAACAATCAAGCTCTTGAGATTTTTGAGAAGAAAAAATATTTGACGTGTTTTGTCCAATCCTGAAAGTCAGTATTAACAACAAACTTTTTTCTACGTTTATTTATTAAATTAATTAATAAATTGAATCAATTTAATAAATTTACAGTTTCAGCCATATAAAATAATGACAAT